AAGAAGGACATGGAGCTGTTGGAGTGGGTCCAGAGGAGGGCCACAAAGATTATCCGAGGGCTGGAAGACCTCTCCTAGGAGGAAAGGCTGAGGGAGTTGGGGCTGTTCAGCCTGGAGAAGAGAAGGCTGTGGGGAGACCTTACTGCAGCCTTTTAGTACCTGAAAGGGGCCTATAGGAAAGATGGGGAAAATATTTTCAGTAGGGCTTGTTGTGATAGGACAAGGAGCAATGGCTTTAAACTGAGGGGGGTTAGATTTAGACCAGATACAAGGAAGAATTTTTTTGCCATGAGAATGGTGAAACACTGGAACAGATTTCCCAGAGGCAGTGGAGGCCCCATCTATACGAATATTCAAGGCCAGGCTGGACGTCACTCCGAGCAACCTGGTCTAGTTGAAGATATCCCTGCTGACTGCAGGGGGGGTGGGCTAGATGACCTCTAAAGGTCCCTTCCAACTCAAAGCATTCTGTAATTCAGCCTGGAGAAGAGAGGCTGTGGGGAGACCGTATTGAGGCCTTTCTGTACTTGACAGGGGCTTATAGGAAAGATGGGGACAAACTTTTTAGCAAGGCCTGTTGTGACAGACAAGGAGTAATGATTTTAAACTGAGGCAGGATAGATTTAGACTGGATATAAGGAAGGCATTTTTTACAATGAGTGTGGTAAAACACTGCACCAGGTTGCCCAGAGAGGTAGTGAAGGCCCCATTCCTGGAAACATTCGAAGCCAGGTTGGATGGGGCTCTGAGCAACCTGGTCTAGTTGAAGATGTCCCTGCTCACTGCAGGGGGGTTGGGCTAGTTGACCTCGAAAGGTCCCTTCCAACCCAAAGCATTCTACAATTCTGTTTCTTTTGCTGTCTTTTGGCACTGATGGAATTTTGTGATTCTTGTTAAGTACAGCAAACCCATCAACAAATGTCTCGAGTGAATAAGATCTTCTGTTTAATAAATGCAAGGATTCCATTAAATTATTTTTTTGCTGTACTGCTTGGATTTGGAGTGACTTAAGCTGTTTGATGTTAGGCCAGTTTTAAAGCTGTTAGGTATCTATTAAATAACATGTTTGACCACTCATTTATTTTCTGTTAGTTCTGTCTCAGGAAGAAAATGAATTGGGGAAATTTCTTCGATCACAGGGTTCTCAGGATAAAACAAGAGCAGGAAAAATGATGCAAGCCACGGGAAAGGCCCTCTGCTTTTCTTCTCAGCAAAGGTACCTATGTCAGAATTACCATCTGATTTGTAAAGCTCGTGAGATAATGGTAGTTGATTCGCCATTGGCATAATTTGTTTTGCCATTTGAAATGTGTGAGGAGCCAAATGCTATGAAAGTTATTATCAACCAAATCTGCTATAGTATTCACAATATTACTGGCTTGCTCTGTGTAGTTTTGCCTGATCCTGTTTTTTGTCCTGTGGGTGTGCTGTGTCTGTGTATCTGCAGATCCCCCGCTTGTGCCTGTTCAGCTCAGCAGTTCTAAAGCTGTACAGGTGCATCTGTACAGCCTCTCTAGTAGTGGGGTTGTAAAGGAGCTATGTCAGGTCCCTCTCCTGCTTGGTGGCACTTCTTACTCTGCAGAGAAATGCTATAGCAAGCCCATTGTGGAGGTTTCTGGGTCCTGGGAGGGCAGGTAAATGCTTAAAGGAGTGCCTTTGTCTGGGCTATGGAGTCTCATGCCTCAAGCAGACAGAAGAGAAGGGAGTCTCTATGTAATTTTCTGCTTTAACTGTGAAGTCCTCCAGGAGAAGATCCCAGATCCCCACTGAGCTCATGTAGGTTGGGTAGGAGCAAATCAGTAAAAGGCAAGGAATACGGAGGGACACATACACACAAACACATGCTGTTACCCAGAGCCCTTGATGTCTTACTGACCCTGTGTTTGCTCAAAGACTTTAAAATTAACAGTACTCGATGACATTAGAAGTATTGTGATGTGCTGCTTTTAATAGTATCAGGACTATGAAAGTTTGAAATTCACCATCATTTGCAAGGGAAAATTCTATTCCATTCTATTTTGCAGGATTTTTGGGGGTTCTTAATTACTGTGATACTTTCCAGCTTTAGCTTAACAGTGCAGCTGTTTGGCTCAAAATAAAACATTGCATACAGAGCACTGAGAATTTCATATGTTTATCTTGGGCTAGAGTTTGGTCATTAGCACATCCAGTAACAGCTGTAAGTGGAATCTTTAAAAGGCACCTTGGAGCAAAAGCTCTGATGATTAGCTTCTTTATAAAGCTTAACTGTTTATAGAAATCCCACTGTATGACATGTCTACATAAACTGAATTTTCCTTTCAGCGGCTGGGGGGGGATCTGTGGAATGAGGAAAAAGTGGAGCAGGGAAGCCGCAAGAAGTTCACATTTTATATTGTATCTCTTACTCAATGCATTTTTAAGGCATCTTTTAAAATAAACTCGCATAAAAATAAAACCAATTTCTGTCTTCTCTTGAGCCATCTTCAAGTTCATGTTGAAGTTAGGACTGCTCTTGTTTACGTTACATCCCAATAGCTAGCTGAGTAGCTGGAGATCAAGAAGACACAATTTGCTGGTTACTGGAGCTCAATTTAGAGACACTTTTATGCCTAGGAAGTCCCTAAGTAGCACACTAAATTAACTGTACACTGGTGTGGAACTGATTGAACCCATTCCAGTGAGGTGGCTGCTGGCAACCAAGAAGAAAGCAGGAGCAGCAGGAAGCAAAGCAGAAGGTGGAGTAATTTGGTCTAGTTCTGAGATCCCATTAGAAGCTGAAGTGATGGCATAGGGAAAACAACAGTGTCCCCTACTGCCTTCCAAAGTGTAGTTGCTGGAAGAAATATTTAAGAAAATGCCTAAATCCTTCCAAAAGATAAACAGCCTTCAAAGGAATTGTTCAGATTCGGTAAAAAAAAAAAAAGGGAAAAAAAATCAGATAATTGTCTACTTGACAGATGACTTCTTTATTTACATGTACATCTGCCTTTGTGGAACAGCTTCTTTAACATGTTCTTTTCCTTCCTTCCTTTCTTTCCTGCATGCCTTCCCCCAGATTAGCACTGCGTACTCCTTTGAGTAGATTATATCAAGAAGTGGAGACTTTCAGATATAGGGCCATCTCAGACACATGGCTAACAGTAAACCGAATGGAACAGTATCGGACTGAATACAGAGGAGCTCTACTCTGGATGAAAGATGTGTCTCAGGAGCTGGATCCAGATCTTTATAAGCAGATGGAAAAGTTCAGAAAGGTATGAAGTTTCCTGTAGTGTCCTAGAAGGGGGTGCCTGATGAATGACAATGAAGCGTGGTTTTGGTTCTTCTGAGGAAGACATAATTTAGCAGCACTAAGGATGCCATTTATCGTAACTAATCTTTTCTGTGTGACAGAACTCCAATTAATCTGGTATGGAGTACAATATCCTTCACAGCGTGGGCTGTAAGGAAAGATACGGTAGTAAGAAAAAGCATTTTTCAGTAGTCGATTCAACTTCAGGCTAAATCTTTATAATTTAAATAATATGTATTTTTAAAGAAGGTTATCTAAATACTTAGCTGTAATGCTTGAATGACTGATGGAAGAAGATGTGTCTGCTGTCAGCCACGGAAGAGAAAATTAATTTTTGCAACCAAAAAGTAGCACGTAACAGAAATGCTTTAGCATCTACTGCTAATTTTTTTGAGTGCAGTTGAAGACCAGCATTTTCAAAATCAACTGTTGTTGGATTTTGAGGATGAATTGCAAATTTGGAATTTGTTTCCGAGTTCCTCATGCAGTTGAGCATGACTCTTTGGCAACTGCTAAACACTAAAACTGCTAAGAATGCACTCTCCATAAATTGTCATCATTCAGTATCACTCAAGTTTGCTATACTCCTCCCCTCCCAAAGGGCTTCCAAAAGTCACAAGTCCTAGGTGGTAGTCTGCAGATTTGCTATCAAATGTGAATGTAGAATTTATTTGGACTGGTCGTGTCCCAGTCAGTTCAGGAACGCTCATGAGAACTTCACATTGGCTAGTGAGGCTGTAGAGCCGATTTTGTTAAAAAAACTATAATGTTCACAGTTTGCTGTTTATGATTATTAGCAGGGGTTAGGTTCCGAGGTATAACGTGGTGGCTTGTGCTTTGACTAAAGGCAGTAAAAATATTTACAGAATTTTTGTGATAGTTGAAAGCAGAGGCCTAATAACAGAAATTGTATTAAAGTGTACGTCCCTATGTATGCCTGTGTGTATTGCTTAGATAGGGGTAATGTACAAAAGAGAATCCCTGTTCATCAATGGGTTAAGCAGACTGTGACTGAAAGTGTATGGAGATGAAAGATACTTAATTCAGGATTTTAAAAGCTTGAATAAACCATCCTAGCGGGAAAGGATCGGCATGCATCTAGGCTATGCTGTTTTTTGTAAGCTGAAGTGGTGACAATAGCAATTAAGAAGGGGTGGAACAAATTAAACCCCAGCTAGTCATCTAATCTTTATTTAATGCTTCAGTACAGGATATTCCTGTAAGTCTTGTGGCACCAGGCATGTATTTTATTGTGCCTTGTGGGAAATGGCATAATGGCAAGTTCTTGCAGGTAAAATAATTAGTATGGTCTTGGCCTCAGCCAATTGCTTTTGTATAATGATTGATTTATTAGAAAAACACTTAAATAATGGAATGCTAAAATGAATAAAGCAGTACTGGTAATGGTCATACAAAATTGATTTATAGCTTTCTTGCAAAACAAATGCTATGGAAGATATAAATTATATAAATGACAAAGTAATTAAAATAACGTATGCTGTGTATGGTGAGCTGCTGTAGTTAAAATGTTAGATGTGAAATTTCAGCCATCGGGTTGCTGTGCTTCAAGGTCAGCAAAAATAAGATTTGATTTTTTTGTTTGTTTTGTTTTTAAACCTCTCACAAAACTTAGTAGTAGAAATATGGAAATACTAAGTTTTTTCAAAAATTTCTCGGTCTGAAATGAGTTATATTCTGACATAAAGTAATAATGAAAGTAGATCCTAAAATTCTGTAGCATTACCTCAGTAGTTTAAAAAAAACCTCAACCTTAGAGAAGGTCTTTTGAACCTTTGTTTCCTCTGACTGGCTGTCAGCTGAAAACCTTTCAGATCACATTGTAATGCAGAGAACAAAAAGCTCTATATTTTGTAGCCAACGAAGTAATGCACTTGGTATCCACTTCCCTTCATATTCCATCTGTGCAACAGGCGTATCAAACTAGTCTTTGGAGATTTTAACACTTGCAGAAAGTAAACTTTTTCTTTTTTCATTTTGGGGGGAAAAAAAATTACAGAAATAAAATCCTCAAGCATAATGTACCTAGATAGCTGTAGGTGAACAAGACACAACAGGTTTTTTTCAGTGCTTTACAAATGTAGTAGGCAAACAAAACTAATGGTGAATACTGTAGTCCTAAATAACTGAAGTAGAGGAGTTATTTTTATTGTCTTTTTGTTCTATTCTTGCTTGCAGATCTTAATTGTGCCATAGTGTGGCAGTATAATGCTGGGTTTTTAGGACTTATTTTGGTTCTGCAACAACAATTTAAGAAGTCATGCTAGTTTTGTGTTGAAAAAGAGATCGTAATTACTGGTGTAAGGTTTTTGGTTCTAAAATATACCATCACCAGATAGACGTGTTTGATCTGGAGCTGCATATGTGGTGATACACCAGCAAGTAGTTAATGAATCTGATCCTGTCAGAGCACTTGAAACAGTTTTCTTCAGACTTCTGATTGTAAAAATCCTAAGTATTACTTTAATAAACAGACTTTTTTATTTCAAATAAACAGTGCTGGTTTAGTGATCTTTAATGCATGTAGTGCATGAGCAGTATTTATATCACTTGGTTGTAGAACTGTTTTTCAAGTATGTAACCTTTTATAATGTAATCCTAAATGTATCACTATGTATACAAATATGGTACTTGTTTTTGGAGACCAAAGCTAAATCAATCCAGCTGGGTTTTTCATACCTTCACTGAGAATAGTTCAGGCTAAAAGATCAATAGTTGAGTCGGTATTTTCAGAGCTGATAAAATCTGAGTTAAAACACTGGCATTTTTGTAGCTCTCTTTGAAAACAATGAGGTATTTGAAAGAATTTTCTAATGCTGTTCTCAAGGCATGAGTCTAAACAAGGGACACCCCACAATACTACCACTTTCAGAGTGTCCCAGAACACTGCAGAACAGCCTTTTTACATTGTTATTGGAAGACATCCATGTGATTGTAGCTACTTGGGTCAAAGCAAGGAAACAGGTAAAGTATTTGCTTTTCCCTGCAAAGTTTTATAAGTGCTATGTACCTTCATTCTTTTTTTTCTATCAACAGATTTTATGCAGTTCTAGATACAGAGGTCTTCCATCCCAAGTTCAGGGTTTGAAGTGTTGCTGGAGAGAATCTAAACAGCGCCTTGGCAATGCTGTGATATTTAAAATAATCTGAATCAGTTAATACCCCTTTACCAAATTCTCCACTACTATTTAAGGTTCTTAAATCCAGGCTGGTTTAGCTGTCTGGTGACTGTACACTGTAGCATGAACTCTGATATAGGCCAAATTGCCCAAGTGCTGATAGTCCCTCAGTGTCCTTCCTCCAGCTCTGAAAAAGTTAAGCTTTTCCATGCATTTCCTGAGCAGGAACATGCCAGCTATGGCACCAGGCAACACCTTCCCATGTGCAGCCTACAGGAACACAGAAGAGGTTCTGCTGTTCAATTTTACTTGCTAAGCTATCTTGGATGCTTGTACAGTGCAGTATAGACTTTGTCATCAAACCTAGACATTACAGTGCCACCCGTAAGAAGTGAGAGCTGAAAAAATCATCGTGCTGGCCTTTAGCCTAGCTATAAGAAAAATGACATCTGTGCCGTGGCAGGATATATATATTGTGCTACACCTAATAGAGCAAATTAATCCTTTCTATATTTGTTTTTTGCTTCCGTCATTATTCTACTCCTCTGCTTCCCCTGTATTCTGAGGCTTGAATCAAAGCTGGAGTAGCTTTGTAAATACCCAGTGGCCATGCTGGGATCCCTGAGACAAGGCGCACTGCAGCGGTGTGCTGAGAACGGGGTACCTGCAGGGATTTGCTCTGTTTCTTGCTGTTGTCTAGTCCTCTCTGCTTTGCCAAAGCTGCTTTCATAGGAGCTCTGCTTCAGTGTGAATCAGGTGGGCGAAAAAATAGGTTGAAGCTGTTTAAGGGTAAGGAGTGATGCATGGGCTGGCTGCAGCAGACCTTTGTAAATGCTGTGAGATTCATCTGCTTGGAATACAGTGCAAGTCCTGTGTCTGTCTCTGTGGTACTTGGATATTACAGCAATAAATATGAGTTGTACAACAGTATGTATTAGATGGAGTACTGTCTGGAAAAAAAGTTGGGTTTTGATCAATGTATTCGCATGGGGTCTGTGGGGGGAACAAGTGGCATGGTTTGTGCTGGGCCTCCTTGTGCTGGAAGGTTAGAAAGGCCCTACCACACAGTGCAGAGCCCGGAACTACTTAAGTGGTGTTAAAGAAGTGGGATAGATCCTACCAGGGAAGAGAATTGTTGGAATACTCCCCAAAAGATCCTAAATGACTATAGGACCCTTAATGTCTAGCTGTTACTTTGCATGCAGCTGCTGAAGAACTTGCAAGCTTCTAGCTGAGCTGTTTGGGCACGGCTTATCTCGAGTTCTTCCTAGTTGTAGCACTCTATATACTTGAGATTAAATTAATGCCCTTAAATGGCATTTTAAAGACAAATGTGGCAAGAGAAAAGGAAAGGCAGTGAGAAAAAGGAAAGTTCAACAAGAAGAACTCGTAATGATATAACAATAGCTTCAACTGTTGGTTTTGTCAATGTACTAATGTAGGGAGTGGCTGATCTATGCAAGTTCTCTGTTAAATATCTTTTAAAAAACAAAAGTTAAAACTTGTGTGGACAGCTGGGAAATAACAAAGATCTAAATAAATCAATTGATTAAAAGGTCAGAAGGGAAACACTGAAGTACATGTATTCGTGGTAAAGATCTCAGCAAGTACGGAGAAGATACAGCTGCTGCAGCTTTACAGGGAAGGCTTGGGACCGATGTCTCTCCCCTGCTGCCCTCTTGCCTACTAGCCCTGCCTGCTGTGAGTGCATTTTCGCTTGTGTCATGATGAAGGGGCTGTGCCATGTTACAGCATCATCTGCTACTCTCCTACTCACCTATCCATGAATATCAGCAGCAAACAGCCCTGCAAACCTGAAGGCACTGTGGAA